TTTGAACTTGTCCTTGGTCAGCTCGGCAAAGACACTGCATTTCTGCGCGCACATTGCCCTTGCCAGTGCCTTGACCCAGAGAACGAACGTCCATTCTTTCCGATGGACCTTCTGACTTCTCTGGTCGTCTTGCTCATGCGGCGTCGCCATTGGCACAAGTGATGTTTCCGAAGCCAGAATAGTTGGTCGCCCATCTGATTCGGGGATAGGCCTCCAAACTGATCCAAAAGAGTAGTCGATAGCTTCTCCGAAGTCTGAACTGGCGTCGAACCTCTGGCCACCAGCACACTCGAGGCAAGTCTGCGCTTCATCAGCACACTGCCACGCGGCGGCAGGACACACTGCCCGCGGCGGGTCAACGCTCTGCTGAGAGCTGCGAACAAACGCAAGGGCATTTCCGGCATCCGGAGGCTTGGCAGCAATACCAGCCCATAGGTCAAGCCCTTGTGGGTACCAAGGAAATGGCGTGGCTGCGTCGTAACTCATGTTGCTGACCATGACAACGAAGCCGCCAAAGGATGGCGGTGCACGGAGGGCGCTGGCGATGTTGTTGGAGGGGCGCCCCACGATGTGACCAACGCGCCTGAACATAGTCAAAGGATCATTGAACTCGGCCTCTGTTGTTGGAATTGGCTGCCATAGGGCAGGAGCAGCGCCATGAGTTTGCTAGCGGCAAGGCCGACAGGTCGGAGGAGCAGCCAGCTGTAGTTTTCACATGAAATCGCAGCTCCACCGTTGTACATGGCCCGGAATAGCAGTGCATCGGTGGTCTCGTTGCGTCCCCTCGAAATCGAACAGCTCGCGGGAAGACTGTAGGAGTCACTCTTCACCAACGGGTCCGAAGTGGGTCGCGAGTTTCACGATGAGATAGGTGACGGCGTCTTCCAGATGTCCGTTGACCAACATTCCTTCTCTGATTGCCGTGAAACGCATAGAGCGCGTGTTCTCGCGGGTGGCGCAAAAGAGAATCAGGATGATGGCAGTACGCTGTTAGGCGCTGTCCATGTCGTAGGCGAGTACGCTGAAGGCGAGTAGGTCCGCCACCAACTGGCGGAACGGGTAGGTGCCTGGGTGACAGGGAGGGCGGCTAGCGGGATGCGCTGCTGACCCTGCCACCGCCTCCGCCTTGTCCGGCCCCCCAAGGCCTCATACAGATTAACCAGAGCAGGGCGAGCACGGAGGGAGTGAGGATACTGCCCAATACTGCCAAGGTGGACACCCTCCGAACACAGCCGTCGCGATTGCTGCGTAGGCGTCGTGGGACTCGGCCCTGCACGGAGACGAACGCCACCCCGCCACTTGGAGCAATCCTAACAGTACTGGAACCCTTGATGATGTGCAAAGGTGGTGAAACAGGCACTCCTGATTGAGTTGAAAGCATTCGGAGTGCGTACAGTGCTCACTGCAACGTAAGCCAACACTACTGCGCTCAGTCCGAACCCAAGCGCTGGCCCAGTTTTGCGGTATAGCGAAGGCATCCCACTGCCAGTGCTGGACACTTCTAATGGTCAGGGGGCTGAGGCAAAGCTGCCTGCTTGGGCCTGCTTACCCATGCACCGGGCCATTTGTCTCCCAAGAAATGGTACACTCACAGGGTCGCATGCGGTCGTCGGCGTTGGCCTCGTCACACCTATGGGTGAAGTGGTCCAATTACGGTAAGGCTTGCTGAATAGCCATAAACACAAGCTGCTCAGGAAGTAGCATGTGATACAGATGCCAAGGGTGGGGGGAGCAGGAATGTGCGTCCACATCGCACTTTGCGGGTCTTCCGTGGATTGCGAGCTGGGATCTCTCCCAGCTCCGATACCAGCTAGAATTACGGGGGCTGGTGGTTGGCAAGACTGCACGGCTAATTTAAAGCGGACCTCTTCCAACCATATCAAATGCATACGCTCTGGAGCAACAAAGCCAGATAGCAGGGTGACATCCTACTCGAGCGAGATGTAGGAGGGGAGGGATAAGGAGGAAGTGGTGGAGTGGAATGTAATGGAATACCGAACGAGTCGCACGGAGAAAGAGGGGAAGGAGCAGGAGGAAGAGGAGGAGGAGGAGGAGGAGCAGGAGTTGCTCTTCCCGCCTGCACATGCCTCCCTCCTCGAGGCGCCCTGCGAAACCCACCACGGCAAGACTACCCGCGCCCGTGCGCGCCCCGTCGCGAGCCAGTGAAGGCCACCCCCCACGAAGCTCCTCTGAAGGGCCGCGACGGGAGCTCCCCCGCCCGCTCGCAGCTGCAGGTGCAGCCGAGCGGGCGGAGATCCCGCTGCCCCATCCGCGGCCCCAGCCGCGAGGAGCACAGCGGGCACGGCGAGGAGCAGCTTCATTGCAAGATGCACGCAGGGCCTGCGAGCATCCCACCCGCTTCCCCTGAGCCGAGCGTGCCGCAGAGGCGCGCGCGCGCAGAGGGGCGCGCGCGCAGGCGCACGCTCGAAACCGCGCTTTTGCACCGTTCGGCGCGGCGCGAGCCGGGCGACGAAAAGCAGTGGAAATCACTGTGGCTTGCGGTCGGGGGCAAATGCAGTAAGCGATGCGGATTACGAAGGTTCACTGCAAAACCACCCGACCACTACCCTGGCCAAAAGGTGCAAAACACAATGCGCGCAGAATCTTGATCCTGTTGGGGCGGCACACGATCGAGATCGACGCCGGGGGATCAGCATGTGGCCCCGACTGCGCAGGCCCACTGACCATGTGAGAAATAAATGCCACGGGCGCACCTTGATCATTTAGAATGATTTGAGAGGGGTGATGGGTGTGCCCACGCACTATGCGGCGTGTGCGGGCCCGCAGCCCTTATCAGACACCAACGCAGTGCGTCTGCAGGCGCACGAAGCACATACCACGCTGACCACGCCGCTGCCGCCGCGCATGGCACGAGGATGGTGGGGGTCGACATGTGCTAGTGCACATAACATACTCTGCGCGCGCCGCACACGAGTATCGTTTAGCGGTTCCCCATCCCCGGCGGCGTGGCCTGGGCCCCACTGGCCGATCTACCCAAGGATATAGGCCGTTCCCTTCGGGCTTCGAGGGGTGTATCCCCAACTGGGGTGGTAATTTGGTGAGGATCTCGAAGGGGATGGGGATGGGGATGGGCATTGGTTACACGATACTGAGCACACGTGGCGCACCTGGCGCGGGTGAGTGCGTGGCACGATCGGCCAATGCGGAGCCCGCGGCACACCTCGCGCACCAGCCGTGTCTGGCGCATCTTGGGTCTTGGGCCCCTGGGCGCACCTTGTGCACGCGGGGCGAACCTCGCGAGAATCACGCACCTGGCGTCTCCTCCTCCTCCTCCTCCTCCTCCTCCTCCTCCTCCTCCTCCTCCTCCTCCGCCTCCTCCTCCTCCTCCGCCTCCTCCGCCTCCTCTGCCTCCTCCTCCTCCGCCTCCTCCTCCGCCTCCTCCTCCTCCGCCTCCTCCTCCTCCTCCTCCTTCTCCTGGCTGTTCGTCCAACGGCGACCCTCGCCAATGCTGAGACCCGGGTGCTGCCTCTGTGGTGGCAGGGGCGGGTGGGAGCGAGCCAGACGGCCGTCCTCCGGGGGGCAGCCTCCCCCTTTTCCCCGCGCCCCCTCCCCACGATAGGGCAAACCCACAGGGCATCGGACTTAGGACGGACGGACGGACGGACGCTCGCTCGCGTGCGCGCCGGGGCGCGGTCCCTCTGGGAACGGAGCGTCGGCACCGTGGCGCCAAGATGCTGTGGTGTATGGTAAAGCATGCATTCGAGACACATGAAAAATTAGGTGCATCAGAGGGGAGGGAGGGAGGAGGGAGAGGCATCCTTGTTGTCGGAGTCGTTGTGTGTGCGTGTCGTGGATAGTGATGCCGTCGTTGCTGCTTTACCCTCGTATGGTCACATGGCAACCTCAGCTTTGTTTGCTGGAATCGGAGCCGGAGTCGGAGAGATGAGATCCAGGAATGGAGCCAGAGTCGGAAAAATGAGATAGGATGGGAGCCGAAAGAGGAGGAGGAGAAGGAGGAGGAGGAGGAGAGAGGAGAGAGCAGGAGGAGGAGGAGGAGGATGAGAGGGAGGAGGAGGAGGGCAACTGTTGACCACCCATCCCGGGGCACCAACCATCGGGTGCCGAGCATAGGGTCCAGCCCGTCGGGCCCTGACGAGCGGCCGCGGACGCCACCGACTGCGGCGCACAGAGCCATACCCTTCGAGTGCAAGCAAGAGTCCCCTGGCTCCGAGCACTGGTTGAGGAACAACTGGTCGGGCCTCTGTTGGTCTTGAAGATGGCCTCCAAAAGGGCGACGTGTTCGTCCACTACTCCGCCTGTGGTGCCACTGGGCTCCTAACCAGGGGCTTCCCCACAAGGACGGCCCACGAGGCCCCCAGGAGGCCTGCAAAGCTAGCAAAGATGCTCCCGAAAGCTTGCCAAGCCGCCCCAGAATCTTCCAGAAAGAACCCAGAAGGCGCCCAAGAAGGTGCAAGAAATTCTTGAGACCTATAGGGTCAGACTCGGATGACCCCGATGGCGCCTGGAGACGTAATGGGCAATCTCGGGATCGGCCTGGACGGTATCGTGACAACTCGGGGTTGACGTGGCACACTCGGTGCATGCAGCCGTCCCCTGCACAACAGGAGCACGCGGGAGGGGGGGAAGGCGGCCGTCCGAGAATGAGTTCCAGTGGTCAACATGTCCCGTGAGTTTTTCCAGTCACTGGTTTCGCTGTCGCCACCGTCGTTGACGTCGCCCTAATATCTTCGCCATTTCCGTCGTCGCCGTCCCGTTGTTGCCGTCGCGGCGACTGCGACGACAACTACGGCGATGACAATCGTGATGACGACGGCGGCGACGATGACTACGGCGGCGGCGAAACGACGTCGGCGATAGCGGCTGCGGCAACAGCGATGCCGACGGCGAGGGCGATGGAATCTACGACGACGACGACGACGAAGATGACGATGACGACGACGGCAAAGGCGACGGCAAAGGCGTCGACGACGGCGTCGACGGCAACGGTGATGGTGACCCCGAACGCGTCACAAATTGATGAGCGGCGAGCAGGATGACGGGTTCCAACACTCCGCGACACGGTATGATCCTTCGAGCGCATTAAACTTCCAAACGCAAGACAAAACAAAACTTCCGATAGCAGAATTTGGCAGGTAACTTTGTCCTTTCTGGTGAATTCTCCGGGCCTTCATTCAAAGCTGGTTGTGGCGACTGCCTGCAAGGGTACCACGCTGAATGATGGTACTGCCACAGACTAATTACCTTAAGGCCCGATCAGGGTACCTCAGAATACTGTGCTTATGGAAGCACTCTATACGCAACCCTAGATTTTGCCGCGGCTCTGCCTGGCTGCGCACTGATGTACTGTGATTTGGCTGGGCAGCCACCGAGGGCCCGGAACGTCCGATTTGGAGAACCGTAGTGTGGCCGGGCAACAAAAGCAGCACTCCGACGAGATGCTTCGTCCAACGGCCGCGTCTTTCATTCATTCCGGCCTCCCGGTTTTTTTCGGGCTCCTATATACCGTCAAAAATGGATCTGGGACGAGAAACCACCCCCAGGAGCGGTCAGGACCTCTGCGAACCGCGGATTGGGGAGAAAAAAACACCTCGCATATCTAACAGCACGCGTTTCGTGGACGTTCACCTTGACACGTTGGAACCCGTGGAGGGGGGGCACAAAAACATTGAGTGCCCCTGGAAATCTGAAGGGGGGGGCCCTGGACACCAGCCTCCCTCATCGGCCCCCTACCGGAAGGGGAAAGGGGTGTTCGAACCCGGGGGGGAGGCCCCTGTCCAAGGAGGGGCGGGTTCGAACTGGGCCCTCCCCCTGAATTGCGAAGGGGAAAATGAAGTTCGAACCCTGGGGGGCGGGGCCCCCTGAGTGGCAAAGGGGGGGAATTCGAACAGGCGGGAGGCCCCCCCTGACTTGCAAGAGCGGGGTGGTGTTCAAAATTTGGGGGGTCCTGGAACACGTATATATAATATAAGTAAATACTACCCCTCCCTGCCCCCGTGTCCCACACCTCCCTGGAACATCTCGGGACGCTCCCGGTACCGCTCCCCCGGCCTTTCCAGGGAGCCTCCACAGCGCTCCAGGAGGACCCAAGACGCCGCCCAGGAACCCCCAGAATGCGAGGGGATGGCCCAAGGCGCTCCCAAGCAGCCCAAGTCAGCCTTCCGACGGCTCTCGAGGCTCCCAGGTGGCCCCAAGAGAAGTCCGAGAGGCGTCCCGGGACGGCCCGAAGAGGCCAAAATCGTAGATTTTCATTTGTTTTTTTCAATGTTTTTGACTTCTCGCGCTGTCGAGCTTCCAACGCTCCAAGAACGCCGAAGAGCCGCCCAAAACCGCCCCAAGACCACCCAAGAGACCCGCTAGGACGGCCCCAAGACGGGCCAAGACGGCTGCAAGATTGCTGAAGAACAAACAAACAAACAAACAAACAAACAAACAAACAAACAAACAAACAAACAAACAAACAAACAAACAAACAAAACACAAAAAAAACAATAAATGCCCCCGAAACCCGAATCCTTCGTAAATACCGCCGGACTCGCGCCCCCGAGGCCGAGGAGGGTCACACACTCTTGTAAGTCCCACCAGCCCTTTGGGCGTGAGTGGTTTAGAGAGCTTTCTCTGTTCTCAACCCCCAACCCCCCTTCTTCCCCTTCGGGGAAGGGTTTACCCCTCCCCCTACCCCCTCCCCCTGGGCCTGGACAGGGAGCCCCGAGTGTTCTCAGGGGGGTACATTTCGACTCCTCGGAGGGCCAAAAAACGACGACCCTCACGAGGATTCTGGCCCCGACGGGGGGGCCGAGTTTGGCCCCCTCTGCTCGTCTTTGAAGCAGAAATCATTGATTTTACGAAGGTGTTGGCCCCATTTTGGCCTTCTGAGGGGGCCGCGCTCATCTTCCCTCATAGCAAAATCATTGATTTTACAAAGGTTTTGGGCTCATTTTGTCCTTCTCAGGGGGCAGCTCTCGCTTTGCGCTTCTGAGGAGGTCGCACGAGGCCCCAAGATGGCCCCAAGAGGCACCCAGGAGGCTCCCAAGAGGCCTCCAAGAAGCCCCCCAGAGGCCCCCAAGCGGCCCCAAGAGGCCCCCAAGAGGCCCCCAAGAGGCCCCCAAGAGGCCCCACGAGGCCCCAAGAGGCCCCCAAGAGGCCCCCAAGAGGCCCCCAAGAGGCCCCACGAGGCCCCCAAGAGGCCCCCAAGAGGCCCCCAAGAGGCCCCCAAGAGGCTCCAAGAGGCCCCCAAGAGGCCCCACGAGGAGCCCGAACGACTCACACCAGGACGAGGGGCCCGAACGACTCACACCACGAAGAGCCCGAACGACTCACACCACAAGGAGGGGCCCGAACGACTCACACCAGGACGAGGCGCCCGAACGACTCACACCACGAGGAGCCCGAAGGACTCACACCACGACGCGGGCCCCGAACGACTCACACCACGAGGAGCCCGAACGAGTCACACCAGGAGGAGGGGCCCGAACGACTCACACCAGGATGAGGGGCCCGAACAACTCACACCACGAGAAGCCCGAACGACTCACACCAGGACGAAGAGCCCGAACGACTCACACCACGAAGAGCCCGAACGACTCACACCAGGAAGAAGGGCCCGAACGACTCACACCAGGACGAGAAACCCCAAACGACTCAAATCACGAGGAGCGTTTTCTCTCCCTCCTCCTCCGCCTCGTCCTTCTCCCGCTCCCCTTCACAAGGAGGATGTACAAGGAGGCTGGAGGAAGGAGGAACAGGGGAGATATGCGGGGCCAAGCGGACACACGCCTGAAAAACACGATTGTCGGCATGCTTCGCGAGAGTTGCTGCTGTGAAATGGGCTGGTGGGGATACGCGAAGCGTAAAGAATTAAACTGTCGTCGAGTCGACGATCCCATAAACCCCGCTGTGTACGCTGCGTTCGCGCTCCCGAAAGCGCAATTCCTCTTCAATTACCCAATGGTCCCCCTCCGACGAGGATTCCTTCTCCATCCTCCCCCTGTTGGGGTACGTGACAGCTTCCCCCGCCCTTTGTTATTTTGCATGCTCCCCGACTTCCCTGATCACCGCAATTCGCCTGGGCATCGTTTTTGGATGGGCTGGTGGGGATACTTGTTTGTTCGGCGGCCCGCAAGGAAAAGTCCAGAGGGCGTGTCAGAAGGCAATGGGGCGCAATGCCAGATAAGTTGTGAAGGCCAGCGCTGGTGGGGATACGCGAAGCGTCAAGAATTCCTTGTCAATTACGCAGTGGTCCTGTCTCCTGGGCAACACTCCTTCGATAGTTACTCAATAGTTGCGCCTCCGAAGCCAGGATCCCTTGCAAAATATGCGATTCTCGCGCCCCCGAACTCATAAACCCTCGCAAAATACAAAACATTCGCGCTTTCGAAACCACAATGCATTATAAAAAGGCCTCTCAAACGGTACAGTAGGCCTCCGAGACGGCCCAAGAGTGCTCCAAGGCGGCGCCCAAGATAGTCCCAAGACGGCCCAAGAGACTCCCACGCGGCCCCCAAGAGCGTTCCATGAGCACCCGTCACGGGGCCCCAGAGGCCAACATTTGCGATTCTCCTTATGTCGTAGACCACACTATCCGAGAAAAGGGGCCGGCGGCAAGAGGCGAAGCCCTTACTGATGACCTTTTCAAGAGCCCTGGGTCAAGGGTCGAAGTCCGACCCTAGTCTGATATACGGGGACGCCCCTGGAGGGAATCATTCAGGAAACAGCTGAATCCGTCGAGTTGGTGTATTTGTTGCTTCATGTCGTTCACCCGTTCCTGCTGCAGTGCGTGTTACAGTGTTCCCAGGTCTTCGGCACTCGGTCCCACGTGGTGAGCTGCTGGCATGCGAGCTGGCTTTCAGGACTCGCGGTCACATGCTTAGGTGGCTGGCAGCGACTCTGCCATCACTGGATTCTGGGTCGGAAATACCTGGAACCATCTGGGATTGGTTCGGACCTCTGGCGAAGCATCCGGACGGAGGGGATCACGATGCGTTCTGCCAGCTCTCGTCTGTCATCTGTTGACTGACATCGCCAGAAAAGTTTCCCATCGGAGATTGTTGGTGCAAGAAACCTTTGCTTTGCGCCGCAGCGCGGCAAAGGCAGTCCGCACGCGCGCCCAGGCAACCCAGGCTACGGTGAAGCGAAGTGGCCCACGTGCAAGGGGGAAAAGCAGAGCGGCGGCCGCAGAGGCAGGAGGCGGGAGAAGAGGGCGCATTCACGCGGCAGGGCCGCGGGGGGCGCGCGGGGCTGCCAAGCCACAGGGTGGCACCTGGCAGCGAGCGCGGGGCGGCTGGTGCAAGAAACCATGCAACTGGATGATCTCTCCTCGGAGGCGGCGACCCGTGCCCAGATGCCGCGGGGAACTCGCCACGACGTGCTTGGAGACATGAGAGACGCGTCCATCTGGTGCAGCACCGTCTGTCTCGGACGTCGTCGGACGCCATGCAGGCCAGGAAGCGGGAGGTGAGCGACGAAAAGAAACGGATCTTGCGCGAGATGGCATAGCGACCTTACGCGGTGGCGTACACGGGCCGCCAGCGCGGCACGCTACGCTGAAGCGAGGGCGCCTCCACGCGGCCTTACGCGGGCAGCTTCACGCGCGAACGTCGGCGAAGCCGACCCCGTTGTTTTCCGTCGCCCAGGTGGCGTCAGGAAGTCTGCGGTACCTCGTCCCCCCCACTCGACCTCCTGCACCTCGGGCCGCCTCGGCCCTGTGCTCGGAGCATGTTCGCGACGACCATCCGAAAAGTGCCAGCGCTGTCGCGGGTGGGCCAGGGTCGCAGCCCTTCGTGAGTGGCATTGGCTCGTCGAGGTGCACCCCCCTCCCTGTTGATGCGCAGTGATTGGCTCGTCCTGTGGGGGTCGGCTCCATATCGGCACACCCCTCAGACGCTGCGTAGCCCCATCCGCCACCGTGCCGCTGGACACGGAGTGGGCGTGTCCCCAGGTCCTTCGCCTAATCCTGTGAGCCGGACTCCTCATTCCTGAGGAGTGTGTAAGGGACCCAGACCCCTCGCTCTCAAACCTCCCGGGGCTTCCCGCGAGCCCCTGGGGCTTTGCCAAGTGGTGGCGCGTGAATTGTTCGGGCCCAAGAGGGCCCCAAGCGCCCTGCAAGACGGCCCAAGAGGGCCCCGAGACGCCCAAAGGTCGGCCCAATACGCCCAAGACGGCCCCAAGATGACCCACGAGGCCTCCAAGACGTTCCACGAGGCCTCCAAGAGGCCTCCCAAGAGGGCCCCCCAAGACGACCACACGAGGCAAAAACCATTGATTCGCATTAGGTGGTTGATGGATTTGGGCGGTCTCGCCTTTTCGGCTTTCCGACGCTCCAAGACGGCCTAAGAGGCCCCCAAGACCACTCCAAGACAGCAAAAGAGGCCCTCAAGAGGACCCCAAGACGGCCCTAAGAGCGCCCCAAGACGGCCCAAGAGGCGCCCAAGACGGCCCGAGCGGGCACCCAGACGGCCCCAAAAGGGGCCCAAGAGAGGGAACGAGAACCGAAAATCCGAGCCGTCCGCTCCAAGAGGCGCCCAGGAGGCCCCACGAGGCGCCCAGGAGGCCCCAAGAGGCCTCCTAGGGGCCCCCAAGAGACCCAAAAAGGGCATCCAAGAGGCCCAAAAGAGGCCTCCAAGAGGCCCCCGAACGGCTCCCAAACGGCCACCGAACGGCTTCCAAGAGGCCCCCGAGAGACCCCCCACGAGATCCCAACGAACATCCAATGAGCTTCATGCCCACAACCCGGGCACGGTGGCGGGATGGGCCAAAGGCCAACAGACAAAGGGGCTCCACCTGTGGCCCCAGTGGTCGCCCGCTTCGGCACACCCCATCACGCGCTTCGTGGCCCCACAGGGAGGCTCCCATGCCAGTCCTCGAATGTGGCGCCCCGCTATTTTCGGCACACCTTTCACACGCTTCGTGGCCCCATAGTGAGGCTCCACCTGAGGCTCCAATAGCCGTCCTCACATGCGGTTCCCCGCCCGCTGCGGCACACTCCTCATAGACTCCATGGCCCAACAGGGAACTCCGCCTGAGACCCCCGTGCCCGTCATCGCATGCGGTTCTTCCCCGCCTATTTCGGCACACCCCTCACACGCTGCGCGGCCCCGTAAGGAGCTCCACCTAAGCCACGAGTGGCCGTCCTCGCATGCGGCCCCCCGCCCATGTCGGCACACCCCTCACACGCTTCGTAGCCCCATAGGGAGCTCCACCGAAGGCCCCAGTGGCAGGGTTCGCAGGCGCCCCCCCCGCCCATCTCGGCACACCCCTGTTGCCCCATATGGAAATCCACCGAAGAGGATCCCCAGAATTGCGGCACCCACAGCCATCATATTTTTTCGGCGCAAAGGGAACCATGCAATGCGCAAGGTCAAGGCGTGGCCATAGTTAGATCAACGGTGCTTGAAGGCTTGCTCGATGCCATAGCCGATCGCCCATGAACCAAGTATCTGGAACGTGTAAACACCGACCCAGAACATAAACACCCAAAAGGGCTTTTCTATCACTCTGAATCGCGCCGGGTGGCTTCCCAACTCCTTCATCAATCTGGCGAGCAGTCGCTGGTCGACAACAATGAGCCCGCTGGTTGCCCGAGCAAGGTGAGCGACTTGCTCCACCGCTAACGCAAGCGAGTCACTGTCCACACCTTCGCGCAACGAAGCCATGAAGATCTGGGTCGGAAATATCCTCGGGTCCTTCATCATTTCATCGCCCTGTGCCGCGGTCTTGTCGGAACGCATCAGGCCTGAGAAGGCATGCTTCTTGACTGAACTGGCAACGACTGAGCCGTCTGCACCGACGGCCGTTTGGAGGAGGCCTTCACCCACACGGACCTGTTCCAGCGTCCCTTGCTTGTCTGTCTGGTAGCAATTTGTCGAGGCTAGCTGGCTCCGATTGGGCAGGTGCCCTTGGCAGCACCAGTGCCCGACCTTATGGCCGCTCTTGGAAGTGACAACCCCCGTCTTGTTGCCAGAAAAAGTCGCAGCTGACAGTTGAAAGATCTCTTCATCTCGATCTTGCTCTGCAGGATTGGTGTCGTTCAGAACAGTGAAACAGAATGCGCTGCTGCTTGACACATTGTTAAACTTCAAGAAGTCTTCATCTTCCCATAGCTCATCATCCGCCGCGGCGGTGCCTTTGATCCGCCACCGTGCCCCCCTGGTACGTTCAAGCGTGGCAGAAGCCAGGACGAGAATTCTGTCGGAGTCCGAGTAGGGGAGGACCGCCACCGTGGCCGCGAATATGGCCCAACATTGCCGCAAGAGGCACCCGACAGCTCCCGAGACGCACCGAATACACCCGCCGATCCGGCGTGTGCTTTCTACAAGGCTAGAGCCTGAGCTTCAGTTCTGCTTGAGGGGTTGCCGGGGTCGCTCTGCCAGGGAAGGGGCAAAGAGTTGTGGTGCTCCCATCCTACTTGACGACCACATCCCGGAACTAATTTCGAGCACCCGGAAAAGTGTCGGAAGAGTGGCGAAACAGTGCCGGAAGAGTGTCCCCCAGGGCCCGACGCGAGAAAACCCTCGAGTTTCGGCACTTGTCCTGGTGCTCGGAATTCTTTCTGGCGGTCAAGGCTAAAGGTAGGTTGGATCATCATAAGCAAAAGGGGCGGGGGAGGGGACTGCAGCTTTCGTCCGGAGCTGAGCCGCGCTCGCCAGGGCTCGGCTCGCCGCGCCTTCGGTTCGCCGGGGCTCGGTTCGCCGGAGCCCGCTTCGCCGGGGCTCGGTTCGCCCGGCTCGACCCGGCTCGGCTCGCCAGGACTCGGTCCGCTGGGCTGGGGCTCGATGCGCCCGACTCGGTTCGCTGGGGCTCGTCGCGCCGCGGCTCGTCGCGCTGCGGCTCGTTTCGCCGGGGCTCGCTTCGCCAGGGCTTGCTTCGCCGGGGCTCGCTTCGCCGGGCGGGCGGGCCCTGACGGGCGGGTCGCGCCGGGCGGGCGGACCCGGGCGGGTCGGGGCGGGCGGGCGGGACATCGAATGCGTGAGGCGTCATCGAGGTAGCACGCGCCCCACGGGCGCCTCGGTCGGGCGGGCGGACCCTGGCGGGTCGCGTCGCGTTGGGCGGGTAGACTCTCACGGGCGGGTCCGCCCGCGGGTGGGCCGGTATACCGCCTCGTCGAGAGCCGGAGCCGTTCGAACACAGCCGGACGAATCGAGCAGGGCAGGGCGATTCGAGTCCCATGCAAACCGAGCCGGGCGAATCAAGCCTGGGCGAATCGAGACTCGGGCGAAACGAGCCAGGCGAATCCAGACTGGGCGAATCGACTCGGGCGAATCGAGCCTGGGCGAACCGAGCTGGGCGAATCGAGCCAGGGGATTCGAGCCCCGGGCGAATCGAGCCCGGCCACTCGAGCCGGCGAATCGAACCCGGGCGAATCGAGCCAGGCGAGTCGAGCCGAGCGAGATTCGGATGAATCGAGCCTACGCTGGGCCGGGGCCGGGGGCTGCATGTGGCCGCCTGGGCCGGGGCCGTGGCCGCGGCCGCGGCCACAGCTGGGGCCAGGGCCGGGGCCGCGGCCAGGGCCGGGGCTGCGGCTGGAGCCGGGGCTGAGGCCGGGGCCGATACTGGGGCCAGGGCCGGGGCCGAGGCTGGGGCCAGGGCCTGGGGCGGCGGGGGCCAGGACCGGGGCCAGGGCTCCTCCTCCTCCTCCTCCTCCCTCCTCCTCCTCCTCCCTCCTCCCTCCTCCTCCTCCTCCTCCTCCTCATCCTCCTCCTCCTCCCTCCTCCCCTCCTCCTCCTCCTCCTCCCTCCTCCCTCCCTCCTCCTCTCCTCCTCCTCCTCCTCCTCCTCCTCCTCTCCTCCTCTCTCCTCCTCTCCTCCTCCTCCTCCTGCTGCTCCTCCTCCTCCTGCTCCTCCTCCTCCTCCTTCTCTTTTCCCCCTATCCTTTTCCCATCATCCTCCATTCCTTCTCCTTAAAAATAAGCGTTCCCTTTCGCACCCCGAGGCCAGTTTTGAGGGCGGCCTGGGCGTTTCGCCTGAGACTTCCTCACAATGTATGACCCTGAAGCTCAAAAGTTGACAACAGTTTCACGAATGGTGGGCGGGTGGTTTTCAAAATGTGGCTCTCGCCTTAGCGCCGTGCACATTCGTTTTTGAAATTGGCTAGAGTTCCACGGATTCCCATGATCAGCGTACCAGAAATTGCGTTTTGGAAGGATTCAATATCATGAGGGAACAAAAGTTACATTGATTCGCGGCGTTGGAGTCCCAAAAATGGCTTTCTGGCACGATTCAGGCTTGTCAAGACGCAACCGTCAGGTTGATCCGTGGCTTTGGAATCCCGAGAACGATGTTCTGGCATGCGTATGGTCTTCAGACGGCTGTCTTCCAACGAATAAGTTCTCTCAGTGGACATGAACTCTTGTATGGGGCCAATGAAGAGGGAGCTCGAAGGGAGGGTTTGTTCCGACATCGTTGACGATTCTTGGGTTCAGACTGGTCTTCCTCCTCCTCCTCCTCCTGCTCCTCCTCCTCCCTCCCTCCTCCCCATCGAGGTATGATTCACAAACCCTAAAACAAGAAGGACTCGCACGGAGCGTCCTAGAGCGTCCCGAAGCGGCGGCACATGCCGGAGGCCTCTACAGTAGACCCAATACACCCCCCTATGTGCTCTCCGAGAGACCCTTTTGAAGTCCCAGAACATGGCTGCGTTGTTGTTCATGTGCTTCGCTTCCCAGACTCTTCGGCCGCAGATCGACCAGCTTGCGGTCATGAAGGGCCTGAGAAACCCGCTGACACCCCCAAGAGAGCCGCCCGACGACCCCAAGAGAGTCCCAAGCTGTCTCAAAAGGGCCTCTCGCCCCAGAGACGCCTCAGACGATCAAGAGCGCCCGAAGACGGTCAAGACGGCACAAGGGGGAGGGCCCCAAAAGGGCCCAAGCGGGCCTCGAGGGACCCCCGAAACTGCCCGACGAGAGTCCTGGACAGCCCCGAGACGGCCCGACTAACCATGAGAGCTCCTCAACAAGTGGAGACGCGCAGCGGCACACATGACGGCCTTCCGAGAAGTGCTTGAAGGTTCGCCACATTGAGTGCTTCGCTGGCACGGTGGCGGATGTGCCGCAAGCTCCTGAATATGCTTCGCAATGTCGCTTGTGAAGAGATTCAGGCCTTCAAGTAAACTTGGCGTCAACACGTTGCCAACATGATCCTACAAAGGGAACGTGACATGGAACTCCCGGGCAGCATCTGGACTTTGTCCGTGAGCACCCACGGCAACAAGAGCAATGGCAAGGATTACGACTGCCCTGTTCGTGGAACTTGTCATACCGCACGGGGCGGACGGTCTTCTTGTAGAGAAAACACTGGGCAAATGACCGAAGTGGATCAACCCGAACGTGCTTGAACCACAGTGGCAAAGACGTGGAAGCCAGGGAGGCTGGAGGGCTGGGAATTCACGGTTTGAGGAGGAGATGCACATAATAGCATATGGGTTTGGGGCGGCTGGGAGCGTGGGCACGTGGGATTCTGAGAGTCACCCAAACAGCCCAAGAAGGCATCAACAAACGGTCCATGAGGGCCCCGAGACGGTCCAAGAGGTAGCCAATAGAAGCCCACGATGGCTTTGTCACTGCACAAGCGGCCGCCAAGTTGCCCGAACCCTCCCGGTATGAAATGGAGTCTCTGCTGGCTCCCACTGGAGGCCTTACTACGGACCCTACTGCTGCGAGCATCACCGCAAGCCCGAATCCGGGCCAAGTTGCAGATCTTCTTGCAGGTCGTGCTACAGACGATGCAGATCCTGCTGCAGGCCCGACATCAGATCCGGCAGCAGGCCCTACAAAGGATCCAACTACAGGCCCGACAGCAGATTCCACTGCAGACCCAAATACAGGCACTACGCTACGGATCCTCAAATGTCGGCGTGTGCTAGACGATCAAGCACACCAGGGACGTGACTAGCCTGCAGTGTAGGGATCTACTAGGGGAGGCCCCCGAGAGACCCCCCACGAGATCCCAACAAACATCCAATGAGCTTCATGCCCACAACCCGGGCACGGTGGCGGGATGGGCCAAAGGCCAACAGACAAAGGGGCTCCACCTGTGGCCCCAGTGGTCGCCCCGCTTCGGCACACCCCATCACGCGCTTCGTGGCCCCACAGGGAGGCTCCCATGCCCGTCCTCGAATGTGGCTCCCCGCTATTTTCGGCACACCTTTCACACGCTTCGTGGCCCCATAGTGAGGCTCCACCTGAGGCTCCAATAGCCGTCCTCACATGCGGTTCCCCGCCCGCTGCGGCACACTCCTCATAGACTCCATGGCCCAACAGGGAACTCCGCCTGAGACCCCCGTGCCCGTCATCGCATGCGGTTCTTCCCCGCCTATTTCGGCACACCCCTCACACGCTGCGCGGCCCCGTAAGGAGCTCCACCTAAGCCACGAGTGGCCGTCCTCGCATGCGGCCCCCCGCCCATGTCGGCACACCCCTCACACGCTTCGTAGCCCCATAGGGAGCTCCACCGAAGGCCCCAGTGGCAGGGTTCGCAGGCGCCCCCCCCGCCCATCTCAGCACACCCCTGTTGCCCCATATGGAAATCCACCGAAGAGGATCCCCAGAATTGCGGCACCCACAGCCATCATATTTTTTCGGCGCAAAGGGAACCATGCAATGCGCAAGGTCAAGGCGTGGCCATAGTTAGATCAACGGTGCTTGAAGGCTTGCTCGATACCATAGCCGATCGCCCATGAACCAAGTATCTGGCACGTGTAAACACCGACCCAGAACATAAACACCCAAAAGGGCTTTTCTATCACTCTGAATCGCGCCGGGTGGCTTCCCAACTCCTTCATCAATCTGGCAAGCAGTCGCTGGTCGACAACAATGAGCCCGCTGGTTGCCCGAGCAAGGTGAGCGACTTGCTCCACCGCTAACGCAAGCGAGTCACTGTCCACACCTTCGCGCAACGAAGCCATGAAGATCTGGGTCGGAAATATCCTCGGGTCCTTTATCATTTCATCGCCCTGTGCCGCGGTCTTGTCGGAACGCATCAGGCCTGAGAAGGCATGCTTCTTGACTGAACTGGCAACGACTGAGCCGTCTGCACCGACGGCCGTTTGGAGGAGGCCTTCACCCACACGGACCTGTTCAAGCGTCCCCTGCTTGTCTGTCTGGTAGCAATTTGTCGAGGCTAGCTGGCTCCGGTTGGGCAGGTGCCCTTGGCAGCACCAGTGCCCGACCTTATGGCCGCTCTTGGAAGTGACAACCCCCGTCTTGTTGCCAGAAAAAGTCGCAGCTGACAGTTGAAAGATCTCTTCATCTCGATCTTGCTCTGCAGGATTGGTGTCGTTCAGAACAGTGAAACAGAATGCGCTGCTGCTTGACACATTGTTAAACTTCAAGAAGTCTTCATCTTCCCATAGCTCATCATCCGCCGCGGCGGTGCCTTTGATCCGCCACCGTGCCCCCCTGGTACGTTCAAGCGTGGCAGAAGCCAGGACGAGAATTCTGTCGGAGTCCGAGTAGGGGAGGACCGCCACCGTGGCCGCGAATATGGCCCAACATTGCCGCAAGAGGCACCCGACAGCTCCCGAGACGCACCGAATACACCCGCCGATCCGGCGTGTGCTTTCTACAAGGCTAGAGCCTGAGCTTCAGTTCTGCTTGAGGGGTTGCCGGGGTCGCTCTGCCAGGGAAGGGGCAAAGAGTTGTGGTGCTCCCATCCTACTTGACGACCACATCCCGGAACTAATTTCGAGCACCCGGAAAAGTGTCGGAAGAGTGGCGAAACAGTGCCGGAAGAGTGTCCCCCAGGGCCCGACGCGAGAAAACCCTCGAGTTTCGGCACTTGTCCTGGTGCTCGGAATTCTTTCTGGCGGTCAAGGCTAAAGGTAGGTTGGATCATCATAAGCAAAAGGGGCGGGGGAGGGGACTGCAGCTTTCGTCCGGAGCTGAGCCGCGCTCGCCAGGGCTCGGCTCGCCGCGCCTTCGGTTCGCCGGGGCTCGGTTCGCCGGAGCCCGCTTCGCCGGGGCTCGGTTCGCCCGGCTCGACCCGGCTCGGCTCGCCAGGACTCGGTCCGCTGGGCTGGGGCTCGATGCGCCCGACTCGGTTCGCTGGGGCTCGTCGCGCCGCGGCTCGTCGCGCTGCGGCTCGTTTCGCCGGGGCTCGCTTCGCCAGGGCTTGCTTCGCCGGGGCTCGCTTCGCCGGGCGGGCGGGCCCTGACGGGCGGGTCGCGCCGGGCGGGCGGACCCGGGCGGGTCGGGGCGGGCGGGCGGGACATCGAATGCGTGAGGCGTCATCGAGGTAGCACGCGCCCCACGGGCGCCTCGGTCGGGCGGGCGGACCCTGGCGGGTCGCGTCGCGTTGGGCGGGTAGACTCTCACAGGCGGGTCCGCCCGCGGGTGGGCCGGTATACCGCCTCGTCGAGAGCCGGAGCCGTTCGAACACAGCCGGACGAATCGAGCAGGGCAGGGCGATTCGAGTCCCATGCAAACCGAGCCGGGCGAATCAAGCCTGGGCGAATCGAGACTCGGGCGAAACGAGCCAGGCGAATCCAGACTGGGCGAATCGACTCGGGCGAATCGAGCCTGGGCGAACCGAGCTGGGCGAATCGAGCCAGGGGATTCGAGCCCCGGGCGAATCGAGCCCGGCCACTCGAGCCGGCGAATCGAACCCGGGCGAATCGAGCCAGGCGAGTCGAGCCGAGCGAGATTCGGATGAATCGAGCCTACGCTGGGCCGGGGCCGGGGGCTGCATGTGGCCGCCTGGGCCGGGGCCGTGGCCGCGGCCGCGGCCACAGCTGGGGCCAGGGCCGGGGCCGCGGCCAGGGCCGGGGCTGCGGCTGGAGCCGGGGCTGAGGCCGGGGCCGATACTGGGGCCGGGGCCGGGGCCGAGGCTGGGGCCAGGGCCTGGGGCGGCGGGGGCCAGGACCGGGGCCAGGGCTCCTCCTCCTCCTCCTCCTCCTCCTCCTCCCCCCCCTCCTCCTCTTCCTCTCCTCTCCTCCTCCTCTCCTCCTCCTCCTCGTCCTCTTCCTCCTCCTCATTCCTCACCTACCACCTCCCACTCCCCCTCATCTCATCTCATCCTACTCATCCTCCTCCTGCGCGCTTCTCATCTGCTCTCATCCATTCCTCCTTCTCTTTTCCACCTTCCTTTTCCCATCATCCTCCATCTTCTCTTTAAAAATAAGCGTTCCCTTTTCGACCGAGCAGTTTTGAGGGCGGCCTGGGTCGTTTCGCCTGAGACTTCCTCACAATGTATGACCCTGAAGCTCAAAAGTTGACAACAGTTTCACGAATGGTGGGCGGGTGGTTTTCAAAATGTGGCTCTCGCCTTAGCGCCGTGCACATTCGTTTTTGAAATTGGCTAGAGTTCCACGGATTCCCATGATCAGCGTACCAGAAATTGCGTTTTGGAAGGATTCAATATCATGAGGGAACAAAAGTTACATTGATTCGCGGCGTTGGAGTCCCAAAAATGGCTTTCTGGCACGATTCAGGCTTGTCAAGACGCAACCGTCAGGTTGATCCGTGGCTTTGGAATCCCGAGAACGATGTTCTGGCATGCGTATGGTCTTCAGACGGCTGTCTTCCAACGAATAAGTTCTCTCAGTGGACATGAACTCTTGTATGGGGCCAATGAAGAGGGAGCTCGAAGGGAGGGTTTGTTCCGACATCGTTGACGATTCTTGGGTTCAGACTGGTCTTCCTCCTCCTCCTCCTCCTGCTCCTCCTCCTCCCTCCCTCCTCCCCATCGAGGTATGATTCACAAACCCTAAAACAAGAAGGACTCGCACGGAGCGTCCTAGAGCGTCCCGAAGCGGCGGCACATGCCGGAGGCCTCTACAGTAGACCCAATACACCCCCCTATGTGCTCTCCGAGAGACCCTTTTGAAGTCCCAGAACATGGCTGCGTTGTTGTTCATGTGCTTCGCTTCCCAGACTCTTCGGCCGCAGATCGACCAGCTTGCGGTCATGAAGGGCCTGAGAAACCCGCTGACACCCCCAAGAGAGCCGCCCGACGACCCCAAGAGAGTCCCAAGCTGTCTCAAAAGGGCCTCTCGCCCCAGAGACGCCTCAGACGATCAAGAGCGCCCGAAGACGGTCAAGACGGCACAAGGGGGAGGGCCCCAAAAGGGCCCAAGCGGGCCTCGAGGGACCCCCGAAACTGCCCGACAAGAGTCCTGGACAGCCCCACGGCCGACTAACCATGAGAGATCCATCAACAAAGTGGAGACGCGGCAGCGGCACACATGACGGCCTCCGAGAAGTGCTTGAAGGTTCTCCAACATTGAGTGCTTCGTAGAGCACGGTGGCGGGGAGTGCCGCACGCCCTGAGTATTGCTTCGACAAATGTCGCTTGTGAGAGATTCAGGCCTTCAAGTAACTTGGCGTCAAACACGTTGCGAACATGATTCCTGCAAAGGGAAACGTGACAGGAAACTCCGGGCAGCATCTGGCTTTGTCCGTGAAGCACTCACGGCAACAAGAGGCTAATGGCAAGGATTACGACTGCCCTGTTCGTGGAACTTGTCATACCGCACGGGGCGGACGGTCTTCTTGTAGAGAAAACACTGGGCAAATGACCGAAGTGGATCAACCCGAACGTGCTTGAACCACAGTGGCAAAGACGTGGAAGCCAGGGAGGCTGGAGGGCTGGGAATTCACGGTTTGAGGAGGAGATGCACATAATAGCATATGGGTTTGGGGCGGCTGGGAGCGTGGGCACGTGGGATTCTGAGAGTCACCCAAACAGCCCAAGAAGGCATCAACAAACGGTCCATGAGGGCCCCGAGACGGTCCAAGAGGTAGCCAATAGAAGCCCACGATGGCTTTGTCACTGCACAAGCGGCCGCCAAGTTGCCCGAACCCTCCCGGTATGAAATGGAGTCTCTGCTGGCTCCCACTGGAGGCCTTACTACGGACCCTACTGCTGCGAGCATCACCGCAAGCCCGAATCCGGGCCAAGTTGCAGATCTTCTTGCAGGTCGTGCTACAGACGATGCAGATCCTGCTGCAGGCCCGACATCAGATCCGGCAGCAGGCCCTACAAAGGATCCAACTACAGGCCCGACAGCAGATTCCACTGCAGACCCAAATACAGGCACTACGCTACGGATCCTCAAATGTCGGCGTGTGACTAGACGATCAAGCACACCAGGGACGTGACTAGCCTGCAGTGTAGGGATCTACTAGGGGAGGCCCCCGAGAGACCCCCCACGAGATCCCAACAAACATCCAATGAGCTTCATGCCCACAACCCGGGCACGGTGGCGGGATGGGCCAAAGGCCAACAGACAAAGGGGCTCCACCTGTGGCCCCAGTGGTCGCCCCGCTTCGGCACACCCCATCACGCGCTTCGTGGCCCCACAGGGAGGCTCCCATGCCCGTCCTCGAATGTCCTCGAATGTGGCTCCCCGCGCTATTTTCGGCACACCTTTCACACGCTTCGTGGCCCCATAGTGAGGCTCCACCTGAGGCTCCAATAGCCGTCCTCACATGCGGTTCCCCGCCCGCTGCGGCACACTCCTCATAGACTCCATGGCCCAACAGGGAACTCCGCCTGAGACCCCCGTGCCCGTCATCGCATGCGGTTCTTCCCCGCCTATTTCGGCACACCCCTCACACGCTGCGCGGCCCCGTAAGGAGCTCCACCTAAGCCACGAGTGGCCGTCCTCGCATGCGGCCCCCCGCCCATGTCGGCACACCCCTCACACGCTTCGTAGCCCCATAGGGAGCTCCACCGAAGGCCCCAGTGGCAGGGTTCGCAGGCGCCCCCCCCGCCCATCTCAGCACACCCCTGTTGCCCCATATGGAAATCCACCGAAGAGGATCCCCAGAATTGCGGCACCCACAGCCATCATATTTTTTCGGCGCAAAGGGAACCATGCAATGCGCAAGGTCAAGGCGTGGCCATAGTTAGATCAACGGTGCTTGAAGGCTTGCTCGATACCATAGCCGATCGCCCATGAACCAAGTATCTGGCACGTGTAAACACCGACCCAGAACATAAACACCCAAAAGGGCTTTTCTATCACTCTGAATCGCGCCGGGTGGCTTCCCAACTCCTTCATCAATCTGGCGAGCAGTCGCTGGTCGACAACAATGAGCCCGCTGGTTGCCCGAGCAAGGTGAGCGACTTGCTCCACCGCTAACGCAAGCGAGTCACTGTCCACACCTTCGCGCAACGAAGCCATGAAGATCTGGGTCGGAAATATCCTCGGGTCCTTTATCATTTCATCGCCCTGTGCCGCGGTCTTGTCGGAACGCATCAGGCCTGAGAAGGCATGCTTCTTGACTGAACTGGCAACGACTGAGCCGTCTGCACCGACGGCCGTTTGGAGGAGGCCTTCACCCACACGGACCTGTTCAAGCGTCCCCTGCTTGTCTGTCTGGTAGCAATTTGTCGAGGCTAGCTGGCTCCGGTTGGGCAGGTGCCCTTGGCAGCACCAGTGCCCGACCTTATGGCCGCTCTTGGAAGTGACAACCCCCGTCTTGTTGCCAGAAAAAGTCGCAGCTGACAGTTGAAAGATCTCTTCATCTCGATCTTGCTCTGCAGGATTGGTGTCGTTCAGAACAGTGAAACAGAATGCGCTGCTGCTTGACACATTGTTAAACTTCAAGAAGTCTTCATCTTCCCATAGCTCATCATCCGCCGCGGCGGTGCCTTTGATCCGCCACCGTGCCCCCCTGGTACGTTCAAGCGTGGCAGAAGCCAGGACGAGAATTCTGTCGGAGTCCGAGTAGGGGAGGACCGCCACCGTGGCCGCGAATATGGCCCAGCATTGCCGCAAGAGGCACCCGACAGCTCCCGAGACGCACCGAATACACCCGCCGATCCGGCGTGTGCTTTCTACAAGGCTAGAGCCTGAGCTTCAATTCTGCTTGAGGGGTTGCCGGGGTCGCTCTGCCGGGGAAGGGGCAAAGAGTTGTGGTGCTCCCATCCTACTTGACGACCACATCCCGGAACTAATTTCGAGCACCCGGAAAAGTGTCGGAAGAGTGGCGAAACAGTGCCGGAAGAGTGTCCCCCAGGGCCCGACGCGAGAAAACCCTCGAGTTTCGGCACTTGTCCTGGTGCTCGGAATTCTTTCTGGCGGTCAAGGCTAAAGGTAGGTTGGATCATCATAAGCAAAAGGGGCGGGGGAGGGGACTGCAGCTTTTGTCCGGAGCTGAGCCGCGCTCGCCAGGGCTCGGCTCGCCGCGCCTTCGGTTCGCCGGGGCTCGGTTCGCCGGAGCCCGCTTCGCCGGGGCTCGGTTCGCCCGGCTCGACCCGGCTCGGCTCGCCAGGACTCGGTCCGCTGGGCTGGGGCTCGATGCGCCCGACTCGGTTCGCTGGGGCTCGTCGCGCCGCGGCTCGTCGCGCTGCGGCTCGTTTCGCCGGGGCTCGCTTCGCCAGGGCTTGCTTCGCCGGGGCTCGCTTCGCCGGGCGGGCGGGCCCTGACGGGCGGGTCGCGCCGGGCGGGCGGACCCGGGCGGGTCGGGGCGGGCGGGCGGGACATCGAATGCGTGAGGCGTCATCGAGGTAGCACGCGCCCCACGGGCGCCTCGGTCGGGCGGGCGGACCCTGGCGGGTCGCGTCGCGTTGGGCGGGTAGACTCTCACGGGCGGGTCCGCCCGCGGGTGGGCCGGTATACCGCCTCGTCGAGAGCCGGAGCCGTTCGAACACAGCCGGACGAATCGAGCAGGGCAGGGCGATTCGAGTCCCATGCAAACCGAGCCGGGCGAATCAAGCCTGGGCGAATCGAGACTCGGGCGAAACGAGCCAGGCGAATCCAGACTGGGCGAATCGACTCGGGCGAATCGAGCCTGGGCGAACCGAGCTGGGCGAATCGAGCCAGGGGATTCGAGCCCCGGGCGAATCGAGCCCGGCCACTCGAGCCGGCGAATCGAACCCGGGCGAATCGAGCCAGGCGAGTCGAGCCGAGCGAGATTCGGATGAATCGAGCCTACGCTGGGCCGGGGCCGGGGGCTGCATGTGGCCGCCTGGGCCGGGGCCGTGGCCGCGGCCGCGGCCACAGCTGGGGCCAGGGCCGGGGCCGCGGCCAGGGCCGGGGCTGCGGCTGGAGCCGGGGCTGAGGCCGGGGCCGATACTGGGGCCGGGGCCGGGGCCGAGGCTGGGGCCAGGGCCTGGGGCGGCGGGGGCCAGGACCGGGGCCAGGGCTCCTCCTCCTCCTCCTCCTCCTCCTCCTCCCCCCCCTCTGCTCCCCCTCCTCCCTCCTCATCCTCCTCCTCCTCCTCCTCCTCCTCCTCTTCCCTCTCCTCTCTCCTCCTCCTCTCCTCCTCCGTCCCCCTCCTCCTCCTCCTCCTCCTCCTCCTCCTCCTCCCCTGCTGCTCCTCCTCCTCCTGCTCCTCCTCCTCCTCCTTCTCTTTTCCCCCTATCCTTTTCCCATCATCCTCCATTCCTTCTCCTTAAAAATAAGCGTTCCCTTTCGCACCCCGAGGCCAGTTTTGAGGGCGGCCTGGGCGTTTCGCCTGAGACTTCCTCACAATGTATGACCCTGAAGCTCAAAAGTTGACAACAGTTTCACGAATGGTGGGCGGGTGGTTTTCAAAATGTGGCTCTCGCCTTAGCGCCGTGCACATTCGTTTTTGAAATTGGCTAGAGTTCCACGGATTCCCATGATCAGCGTACCAGAAATTGCGTTTTGGAAGGATTCAATATCATGAGGGAACAAAAGTTACATTGATTCGCGGCGTTGGAGTCCCAAAAATGGCTTTCTGGCACGATTCAGGCTTGTCAAGACGCAACCGTCAGGTTGATCCGTGGCTTTGGAATCCCGAGAACGATGTTCTGGCATGCGTATGGTCTTCAGACGGCTGTCTTCCAACGAATAAGTTCTCTCAGTGGACATGAACTCTTGTATGGGGCCAATGAAGAGGGAGCTCGAAGGGAGGGTTTGTTCCGACATCGTTGACGATTCTTGGGTTCAGACTGGTCTTCCTCCTCCTCCTCCTCCTGCTCCTCCTCCTCCCTCCCTCCTCCCCATCGAGGTATGATTCACAAACCCTAAAACAAGAAGGACTCGCACGGAGCGTCCTAGAGCGTCCCGAAGCGGCGGCACATGCCGGAGGCCTCTACAGTAGACCCAATACACCCCCCTATGTGCTCTCCGAGAGACCCTTTTGAAGTCCCAGAACATGGCTGCGTTGTTGTTCATGTGCTTCGCTTCCCAGACTCTTCGGCCGCAGATCGACCAGCTTGCGGTCATGAAGGGCCTGAGAAACCCGCTGACACCCCCAAGAGAGCCGCCCGACGACCCCAAGAGAGTCCCAAGCTGTCTCAAAAGGGCCTCTCGCCCCAGAGACGCCTCAGACGATCAAGAGCGCCCGAAGACGGTCAAGACGGCACAAGGGGGAGGGCCCCAAAAGGGCCCAAGCGGGCCTCGAGGGACCCCCGAAACTGCCCGACGAGAGTCCTGGACAGCCCCGAGACGGCCCGACTAACCATGAGAGCTCCTCAACAAGTGGAGACGCGCAGCGGCACACATGACGGCCTTCCGAGAAGTGCTTGAAGGTTCGCCACATTGAGTGCTTCGCTGGCACGGTGGCGGATGTGCCGCAAGCTCCTGAATATGCTTCGCAATGTCGCTTGTGAAGAGATTCAGGCCTTCAAGTAAACTTGGCGTCAACACGTTGCCAACATGATCCTGCAAAGGGAACGTGACATGGAACTCCCGGGCAGCATCTGGACTTTGTCCGTGAGCACTCACGGCAACAAGAGCAATGGCAAGGATTACGACTGCCCTGTTCGTGGAACTTGTCATACCGCACGGGGCGGACGGTCTTCTTGTAGAGAAAACACTGGGCAAATGACCGAAGTGGATCAACCCGAACGTGCTTGAACCACAGTGGCAAAGACGTGGAAGCCAGGGAGGCTGGAGGGCTGGGAATTCACGGTTTGAGGAGGAGATGCACATAATAGCATATGGGTTTGGGGCGGCTGGGAGCGTGGGCACGTGGGATTCTGAGAGTCACCCAAACAACCCAAGAAGGCATCAACAAACGGTCCATGAGGGCCCCGAGACGGTCCAAGAGGTCGCCAATAGAAGCCCACGATGGCTTTCTCACTGCACAAGCGGCCGCCAAGTTGCCCGAACCCTCCCGGTATGAAATGGAGTCTCTGCTGGCTCCCACTGGAGGCCTTACTACGGACCCTACTGCTGCGA